ATGACAAGAGTCCAGAATAAGAGCAGCATAGTAAAGTGGACTGGGGCAGGGGATTGTATAAATGAAAGAATTTTTTTTCAAAGAGAAAAGTGAACTGGGGGGGAAGGGGTGGGTAGGGAGGAAAATGTGCAACAGTAAATGAATGGGGGGAAAAAAGGTTGGATTTGTTTTGTTTTTGGTTTTTTTAAAGGAGAGGATCAGGGAGAGGAAGGAAGACCTTCCAGAAGATGGGCTGCCCTGCCACAGTGACTGCCACATGGATCTAAGCACATTGGAGATTGTGAGGATGGCACAGGAAAAGGCAAGGTTTCTATCTGTTGTACAAAGTATCCCTATGAGTTGGGGTCCTTTGATGACATCTAGCAATATAAAAACTAAACGCAGAAATCGTCAAAAAAGGACTTCAGCCACACGCAAGCCTTATCTTCAGACTTCTGGCCTCCTAAACATCAAGAAAATAAATTTACATCCTTTAAAGCCAAGAAAAGAAAGAAAAAGAAAAAAATGCTGAACAAGTTCTTCCTTTTGATTTTCTGACTCCAGTTCTTTGCACATTCCATTATAGTACTTTCCTTTGTCTGGAGAAAAACTACTTGGCTAACTGATTGGAAGAAATTAATATTTACTCCCATTCCAAAAAAGGTGATCCAAGAGTAGTTGTTGTTGTTAAGTGCCGTCGAGTTGTAGGCGACTCATTGTGACCCTATGAACGAAAGACCTGGACACCTATATAACTCGTGTCCTTTCTCCAGGTTCATAGGGTTTTCAGAGGCAAGCTATTATGGAAGTGGATGACACTCCTGCTTCCAAACTTGTTTTAATCGGGGAGCTACACAGAACATTGTCCACTATGGATAACTATTCTTGCATTTTACTCATCAGTGTCACAGTGTTCGGCTTCACAGCAACCATGAGTTACCTCTGTACAGCAAGTGGACAAACCAGGATTGCATGACCTAGAAGAATGTTTCACCAAAAACAATCAAAGGCAGGCCTGAGGGCCGTGGAGTAGAGTCACCCACCATTGGCTTGAGAGCATGACTTTCAGTTGGCTAGACCAACTGTTCTCTCTCACTCTATGCTGTTGTTGTTAAGTGCCGTCAAGTCATAGGCAACTCATAGCGACCCTATGAACAACGAAAGTCCTGGACACCTGTATAACTTACGTCCTTTCTCCAGGTTCATAGGGCTTCCAGAGGTAAGCTATTATGGAAGTGGATGCCACTCCTGCTTCCAAGATCCAATAGAATATGGACATTATCAAATGGTATCATCTGAATCACATGCAAACAAAATCTTGCTGAAGATTATCCAAATGCCTAGAACAGGACATTAACAGAGAATTACCAGAAATACAAGCTGGGTTTAAAAGAGGCCATGGAATTAGGGACATCACAGCCAATTTAAGATGGATCTTGGCTGAAAGCAGAGAGGACCATAGGAATGTCTGTTGGTTGTTATTGATTATGCAAAGGAATTTGACCATGTGGACCACAACAAATTGTGGCTAACCTTGAGAAGAATAGGAATTCTGGAACACTTAATTGTGCCCATATGAAATCTATAGTTAGACTAGGGAGCATATCAGATCAGAACAAGAAAATGTGCTCTGGTTTTTAACTACATGGTTCAAAGTCAGGAAAGGAGTGCATCTGGGATGCATCCTGTCTCCATATCCTTTCAATCTTTAGGTGGAACAGATCATTTAGGTGGCTGGACTTTATGAGGAAGAATATGACATCAGGACTGGAGGAAGACTCATCAGCAACCTGTGCTTGCTTGCCAAAAACTGAGGACGACCTGAATCATCTGCTGCAGAAGGTCAAGGATTATGTAGTCTTCAAAACGGATTGAAGGTCAGCATTAGGAAAACAAAGATTCTCGTTGCTGGGCTAATTAGCAGCACCATGATAGATGGAGAAGAGATTAAAATTGTTAACAATTTCAGCTTGCTAGGTCCACAATCAGCATTCTTAGCAGTCAGGAAATCAAAAGCCAAATTGCAGTGGGTAAATCTGCTGTCAGGACTGGAGATTGGCCACTCCCTGCTTAAAGTCTTATGAGACTTAAAACACCCTGTACTCGTTGAGTTTTGTGATTCTGGCCATTTTGGTGTGATGCCATTGGTTCCTACTAGGTGAGCTGATTAATAATAATTATTTGAGTGAGCTAGAGTAATTTTCCCCATTTCCTATGGACTGCTAGGAGAACAAACAAGCCAGGATGCTCCGTGGAGGCAAGGATTCTGAAGCTTCATCTGACATACTTTGGACAGGTTGCAAGGCAGGATCAGTCCTTGGAGAGGGAGGTCTTGCTTGGGAGGGTGGAGAGACAGTGCACACGAGTAAGACCCTCGATGAGATGGATTGATTCAGTGACTGGGGTAATAGGTGGGTGTGTCAGAGACAATAAAGTTAGCACAGGATAGAGCAGGGTTCAAGGCTGTTGTACATAGGGTTGCTACGTGTCACAGGCAACTCGATGGCATACAACAACAACAACAACAACAACAACAACAACAACAACAACAACTTCTTCTTTGAACCTTGGTCACCCGCCATGTTTCCCATACCAGGTGGTGTTAAGACCTCACCCTTAATAGCAGTGGACTATGTAACATATTGTGCTGCTAACTGAAAGCTTAGTTTGAATCCACCAGTTGATCTTTGGGAGAAAGATGGGATGCTTCCTGTAAAGAACCAACGTAATGACAGTGGGAATGGAGGGAGAGAGTAAAGGTTGAAGAGGGAGAATAGTACATTTGAAGTTGGGAATTTGTTGCTGAAGGCGTTGCCTAGCAGGAGATAAAGCTGCAAAGATAAGCAGTGGTTGTTGTTTTTAGGTGCCATCCAGTTGAGTATGACTCTTAGAGACCCTCTAAACAACAGACTTGAACCCTGTCCTATCCTGTGCCATCCTCCCAATCTATGACACATATGAGCCCGTTGCTACAGTCACTATGTCAATCCACCTGGCTGAGAGTATTCTTCTCCTTTGCTGGCACTCCACCTTTCCAAGCATAATGTCTCTTTCCAAGGAATGGCCTCTCCTAGCAACATGCCCAATGTATTTAAGATGAAATGTTATCATTTTTGCCTCCAAGGAGCATTCTGGTTACATTTTCTCCAAGACATATCTGTTCTTTTGGCAATCCATGGGATACTTAGCACCTTTCTTTTGTTATGTTATTTCATGAAGTTATACCAATATTTTTCAGTTACTGATGAGTCAGACTCATGGTGACCCCATGTATTCAGAATACAACTGTGTTCCAGGGGGGTTTCAATGGTTAATTTTGCAGCAGTAGCTCCCTACCAAACTTTTGTTCTTGGCTTCTCTGGGTAGATTTGTATCTCCAGGCTTCCAGTTAGCAGCTGAGCATAACCATTTGTAATACCCAAGGAGTAGCGTGGGTCCTAACCCTAATCCAACCCCACTGGTGTCTTATGAAAACAAAGCGATGCACACATACACAGGAGGAAGAAACCACATGATAAGCTGTCTACAGGCCAAGGAATGGCAAGGAACGCCCATGGCTACTAACAAAGAAGGGCCCTCCTCGGGAGCTGATACCCTGGTTTGAATGTCTAGCTTCCAAATGTGAAGCAATATATTTCTGCAGGCACACCCATGTTTATTGCTGCTTTGTTCACAATAGCAAAGAGTTGGAAACAACCCAAGTACCCATCAACAAACAAATGGATAGAGAAACTATAGTATATTCACACAATGGAATATTATGCTGCATTGAAAAACAAGAAACTCATGGAATATTATACAAAATGGGTGACTCTGGAGGACATTATGCTGAGTGAAATATCTCAGTCACAAAAGGACAAATACTGCATAATGCCACAGTTGTAAAATGGGACTGACGTTGGGGTTGGGGAGAACTTAGGAAAAGAGGGACTAAAAACTTTAGAATGCATTGAAACAGATGAGGGAGAGAACTGTTTAAAAGGACTACACGATTAGATATTATTTTCATGAGAAGAGTCCAGCATAAGAGCTACATGGTCAAGTGTGGACTTGGGTGGTGAGGACTGTGCAACAATGAAATAATTTTTTTTTCTTCAAAGAGAAAAGGGAACTGGGGGGAGGGTGGGTGGGAGGAAAGTGTGCAACAATGTATGAATGGAAATCCAAAGTCTCTGTAAACTGTCATTAAAATTTAAGAAAAAAATTTCTGCTTTCTGAAGTCACTTTGTGTTGTTTTGGTATGGCCCTAGAAGGTAAGACAGTGGATATAGGGGAGTCAATTAGAATTAAAGTACAATCAAAGGTATTGCAGTAGCTTAGATGAAAGTTGTGATAACTTGGATTAAGGGAGATAGTAATGAAATAAAGAGAAAGGAAGAGTGAAAGATAGGGAATACAGTGGATGAATACCTGATGAAGTGTTGGATGTGATGATGGGAGAGGGAGGGAGTATCAAAAATGATTCCTAGGTTTTTGGACTGTGCACTTGGATGAGTGGGTGAGGATTATATGTTAAATTTTGAACATGTTAAACGAGAAGTATCTTTGAGACATCTGAGTGAAAGCATCAGATAGCTGAATATGCACATATCTGGAGCTCAGAGGAGCAATTAGGGTCAGGATTCTGTATTTGAGAACTAATTTAGGCTAGTTCTTTGATATTCAAAGCTGGTCTGCAATCTCAGATGAAATTAGTCTAATTCCCCCCTACCCCCAAATCTATACCCTATAGTCTAGAATATCTCCTTAAGGAAAAAGTGACATCAAAAGAAAGAAAAATGTGCCGTTGGATAGTTGCTTTATAGAAAGTAAATGGTTAACAGTTTATATGTAATATACTAAATACTTTATCAATTGCAAAGTATTTTACAGGGCACGAAGTGCATATATTCCTGTGGTCTCAGTTAACTCTCTCATCAATGTTGTGAGGCAACCTGGCCCAGCTCAGCCCTGGGCCCCCTCCTCATACTCCTATTTCCTTGTTTTGTCTCCTCAGATTTTTTTCTGTCACCGTGCTTGAGTCAGGGCATCTCCAGGATAATTTTTCCCACATTCTGGTTGTTCTCCATGTGAGAGTGTGCCTTCTGGACGTCAGCCATGGTGAAGACTTTATCCATGACAGGCCGCAGCTGCACAGCACTCCCAGGGGAGAAGTGAGGCAATACTTGGTCTGTGAAAATCTTCACCAATGTTTCCTTATACTGAGAAGAGAGAAAACAGCCCATTAAGACAATATGGATTGCTTGCCAGAAAAGGAGCAAGATAGGAAAGTTTTCCCTAGAGAATATGGCATTTCTGTCATGATGATGCAAAAATCACACTGATTAAGGACAGAGGTGCACAAGGAACTCTGGTAGCCCAGTGGCATGGAGCTGTGCTGCCAACCTTAAGGCATATGGTTCAAATCCTCCAACTGCTGTACAGGAGAAAAAGGACAGTCTCCTCTCATGAGATTGATAGGCTCTGAAAACCCACTGGAGGGTCATCTATGAGTAAGGCACATAACAGGAACAGTAGAGTTGCACAAATGATTAATGTAATTGCTATCAACAAATTGTACACCTGTAAAAATTTGAATTGGTGAAAGCTGTATGATAGATAAATTTACAACTATCATCCCCACTCATCCACCTCCTCCCATCTCACCCCTCAGAAAAAGAAAGGAACAAAATAGCTACTGAGGCTACTTATGGAGAGCCAAATGCCTATTGGGATTTGAGTCCATGGTTTTGAAGTTTAAGGTCATGGTTTCATGGGACATCTCCCAGTTAATTGACCAAATAATGTGTTCAGTGCTTCTGTTTTACCTCCAAGTTTGTTGCATAGCACCTGGGACTTTAAAATTTGCAAGCAGCAATCTAAGGCACAACAGTTATTCTCTGTTCACTTGGAGCAACAAGAGAAGAAGGAGAATCAGAAATTGGAGGAGGAAGCAGAATGTGAAAGAACTGAAAAACAAATTTAAGCCTTGAGTCACAAAACTGAAAGATGCAATGGGCAGTATATTGAATGACCCAGAAAGCATTAAAAGAAGATGGAGGGAATACACATAGTAATTGTACCAGAAAGAACTGACTGGCACTGAAAAATTTCAGGAAAAACCATATGAACAGGAGCCAATGTAATGAAAGAGGAAATAGAAGCTGCATTAAAGGCACTGGCAAAGTTGGGATCCCAACTGACTTGTTTCAATTAATAGATGCAGCCCTAGATGTGCCCACCAGTCTATGCCAGGAAATTTGGAAGACAGTTGTCTGGCCAATGGATTGGAAGAGGTCCATATTTGTTATCATTCCCAAGAAAAGTGACCCAACTGAATGTGGAAATTTTAACAGTATCATTAATCTCACATGCAAGGAAAATACTGCTGAAGATAATTTAAAAAAATGGCCAGAACAGTATATAGGGATCTGCCAGAAGTTCAAGCAAGATTTAGAAGAGGCTGTGGCACCAGGGACTCATTGCTGATGTCTAGTGTATCCTGGCTGAAAGTAAAGAATACCAGAAGAATGTCTATTTATGCCTTATTGACGCTGCAAAGGCATTTGACTGTGTGGATAACAAGCTATGGCTAACATTGAGAAGAATGGGAACCCTAGAGCACTTAACTGTGCTCATGTGAAACCTATACCTAGACCAGAGGGCTGTTGTGTGAACAGAACAAGGGAACACTACATAGTTTAAAATAAGGAAGGGAGTGTGACAGGGTTGTATTTTCTCTCCATACCTACACAATCTGTATGCTGAGAAAATTATTTGAGAAGTTGGATTCTATGAAGAAGAGTGTGACATCAGGTTTAGAGGGAGACTCATCAACAACCTGCGTTATGCAGATGGCAGAAGTTTGCTTGCTGAAAATTCTTGTTTAAAGCACTCATTGTAGAAATTAAAGAATACACAGCTTTATATATGGATTCCTCACAATGTCAAGAAGACAAAGATTCTTACCACTGGACTGATAGGCAACATCATGATAGATGGAGAAAAGATTAAAACAACTTCTTCTTACTTGGATCCACAATTAACATTCTTGATATCAGCAGTCATAAAATCAGAGGACATATTGAACTGAGAAAGTCTGCAATTAGAGACCTCTCCAAATTATTGAGGATTAACGCTGTCAGTTTGAGGACTAAGGTGTGTCTCATTCAGGCCATGGTTTTTATGATTACTTGTTATGCATCTGATAGCTGAATAATAAATAAGGTTGAAAGAAAAAGAATTGATGCCTTGGAACTATGATTTTGGAGAAGAATGAAGAACATCCCATGGATGGCCAAGAGAACAAACAGATATGTCCTGGAGAGGGTGCAGCCAAAGTGCTCTTTGGAGACAAAGATATTATAAGGCTTCACCTCGCATACTTTGGGCAGGTTGTTGGAGGGGCTGTTCCTTGGAGAAGGACATGACACTCAGAAAGGTGGAGGTTTGAAAAAGGAGAGGAAGACCCTCTATCAGGTGGACTGACACAGTGATTGCCACAATGGGCTCTAGTGTGTCAGGAAATGTGAGGATTATACAGGATAGGACAGAGTTCAGATCTGTTGTTCTATGGTCTATATGGTCATATTTGACAGTACCTAACAACAACATCAAATAATGCGGGTGTCAGAAATGGAAAATTATCATGGAATCTGTTGTTGTTGTTATGTGCCGTTGAGTCATTTGCGACTCATAGCGACCCTATGTACAACAGCCCTAAACCCTACTCTATCCTGTGCCAATCACATGGCCTCTGACACATCCATCCTGATTATTCCAGTCACTGAATCAATCCACCTTCTCTTCACCATCCATCCTGATGCTACCAATTGATCCAGTGGTGAGAATCTTTGACTTCTTGACATTGAGCCTCAGTCCATACTGAAGGCT